TCCAGCGATCCTCAGCGCAAAGTTGTTGTATTTCCTCAGCAACCATTACAGATCAGCTCTAGGCATGACGAAGCAGATATCGTCCTCTTTTGGAAGGCCAAACAAAGTAGTTTCGCTTACACAACAAAACACACAGCGCCTTCACGACACGGCGGCCACAACAATACTACAGCGAGAATAAAAGTTAGGCCTTCTTTCTTTGCGTGAACATTTGGGCGGCGTTATGCAAATCTTCCCAGATAGTGACGTAGGTATGTGGGGGCGTGTTAGAACGAGCCGTTTTAGGTAGGTGTGGCTGACTCTTAACTTTTATAAAGAATATCTCTTTGGATTTGAGACTTTAGTCTTTGCAACTTTACAGATCTTCTTTATGCACCAAGAGCTTGTAACACTCCAAAGATAAAGGAAAAACTGAAATTGCATCATATGACCCCTTTAAGCAAAACACTACACTGTTAAACTATTAGAATGATTTCTGAAGGGTCTTGTGACACTGAAGACTGGAGTAATGGCTGCTGAAAATTCAGCTCTGTCATCACAGAAATAAATCATTTAAAAATATATTCAAATAGAAAAAGAGTTCTTTTAAATTGTAATAACATTTCACAATATTTTACTGTATGATATAAATGAAGACTTTCAAAAACATTTTTAAAAATCTTACCAACTTCCTCTCTCAGTTTGCCCCAGCCAGTGATCCAGACAGATTTGCCTGCTGGGAAGTCATGTGTGGCTTCAGGTAAGCAGACAGGCCAGATGTTCTGGCTGAGGTTTACAGGGCTGTCCAACTCCATTAGAGTGATGTCATTGTCATAGCTCAAGTGATCATACAGAGGATGAGAAACGATGCGCTTTACATGTTTTAGGGTTGACTTACTAGTCTCACCCTGGTTAAGTAGTCCTAGATAAACTTCCCACTGGTCAGGCTGGGAATAGCTAGCAAAAGAACAAACAATCAGTCAGGATCAGTGCAGGAGGGGAGGAGAGGAGTGGGCTAAACAAGATAAGAACTCACTTGAACTTTTCATTGTCCTGCACGCAGTGAGCAGCAGT